AAATCGATAGCTCATCCCGTTATTTTGTTATCGATAAAAACCTTATCGAAAATCATTTATAAGCAGAGCTCGCAAATGAGTGTTGACACTTTTTCGTTGTCTGCAAATAAGTGTTTTTCGGTCACACAATAAAAAAGACTCAGACAGAAACTGATTTTGTCGCGTCTGGCTTAGCTCGCTCGCGCTCTTAGCGAGACAGTTATTTCTGTTTTCGTCTTGTCTTGTCTTTTGAGTTTGTATAGGTAATTACATGCTATGCTTGCTTTCTTTTTCCATTTATATAAACGAAGACGAAGATCATTTCTGTTGAGTTTTTTAGTCAAACTGTTTTTTGCTGAGAGTCTTTAGGTGAGCGAAAATCTTATGTCTTTAGGCGACATTCATTTGAGAGCGCCACAAGACTTAGTCATTGCAATGCGTCTGACCGAAACCGATTCTAAACGAAACAAAGAGAGACGCTCAGACCGAGATCGTCTATGCACAATCTTTTCGGTTATGTTACGAAGCAGAGCATATACGAAAAAGCGGTTAACTCTCATTTGCGAGCTATGTTTATAAGATTATAATTCCTACATCTTTAAAGCTAGAGTCTCCAAATATATTAAATATATATAAAGATGCATTTTATACAATTTCGATTATTGTTAAAGTTTACCCCCACACCTATGTATATCCACTTCCTCACCCTCATATTTGTAAAAGGCGCATTTCAATACTAATGTGTATACTATACACCCATTTAAATATTATGATTACGTTCTGAAAGTTTCATTAAGGTTGTACGTCCAGAAATTAAATTCGTCAACAAATAAATTCTCATAATTTACCAACACTGCAGCGCAGCCCAAGCGCAGTCGTTGCTAACTGTGTGCGTGTAGATGTATGCGTATGTGTGTGTGCATAAAAGAAGTGCAGAATGGAGGGTTCAGAGTATCTCCTAGTTGAGCACTCTCGACTATTTTTCGAAATGACATGCCCCTAAAAAGGTGTAAAAAATTATTTCTGGGTCATCGATAGAGGTGGTTACTAATAACCTAACTAAAATTAAAGCGTCTAGTTCTTGTACTTTATAAGATATAAACTTTTGCGGGTTACGACGTCCCCTGAGGGAGGACATATATGTATATGTATATCCGTCAAAGTTTTTTGGTCTTGAATGGTCAGCCCGAAATTTTATGTTTCTAGCATCAAAAGTGTCAAAAATATAGCAGAATTTGAAAAATCACCATCCGGTTTGTCTCGGCCCTAATGGGCGCAGACGTTTAATTATATTGGTTTTTAGCATTGTCCGTCCGTCTGTCCGTATGAACGCAGTTTTTTTCAGCGCTATTGAAGCTAGAGATTTAAAATTCTGAACACATACCCGTCTATATCTCCGATTTATTAATTGTTAAAATATTCCCGATCCGCCCACTAGGGCGTGGCAAATCGGAAAATGCATATTCTGATATATATTTTTAAATTAATGTTTGTAATAATTAATTATACAGAATTAATTTTGTAAAATAAAAAAATATATATATTAAAAGTTGGGCTCAGCAATCATCGCTTCATTGTAATTAAGAGCGCGTCCTAACCCCTTATTTGTGTGTATATATTTATATATATTTATATAATTAATAATTAATATAATTTTTAAGTGAATTAATTTATCATTCAAATTTATTATATTGCTAATTCAATCGTTTTCTCGCGATATCACATTTGGTTTACTTGCGACTGAAAGCAAACAGCACATGAAAACAAGCAAACAACAGACGCAACCAAGTTAATGCTAAAATTCTGTATTCAGACGAAAAGCAAAAAAAGTTGCCGCAGTTATTGCAAATTTTTTGTTTGCAGAAAAATGTTTGCACTCGTGTTCAAACGTGCAACTTTGATTGCAGCAATCAACTTGCTGCAAATTGTTTGCATCGTGTCTAGCTTTATAGAATCATTAAATTATCTCACGTGCAAAATTTTACCCTTCTAGCTTAAAAACTCTAGGAGATACAGTTTTATCCGATTTTCCACGCCCCCCATAGGCGCCATAGCTCGTGGGTGGTCTATACGGATCTACATTCCAAATGTCAGCTTTCTTCAATGACAAGAACATTCCGTTCATAAGGACAGACGGACGGACAGACAGGCGGACTGGCAGACAGACGGACGGACGGACAAACAGACAGACAGAAGGACCTTCCACATAACCAATATACTAATTCACTTTCGTGAATGAGTATAATAACTACCTCAAAATGTTAAGCCCGCGAAGCTTGAATTGAAATTTCACCTTAATTTTTGCCCACAATAGTATTATAGCTTATCTAAAATACTAACTTAACTTTTTCTTTACAGGTTTTCGTATACTTATCGTTTGCGGTTTCCATAAATTTGAGAGAAAATGGCGACCAGCGATGATGAACCGATGCACTTGTATGAGGTGTTTCAAAATTGTTTCAACAAAATAGCAAATAAGCAACCCCCAGGAGCAGTGGTATCTGAACGGGGTGGGGGCTATCACTCACCATATGGAGGCCTTGCTGTTGAAAACGGAATATATCCTAGTGATTTTAATTCTGTTCACGATGCCAACGGAAGCAATAATAGATTTGCAAACACAACGACGGTTGATCAGTATTTTGATTCCGGGGCAACTAGTAGCGCTGGATGGTACCAATCACAAATGCATAATAGTACTAATTATATGAGTCAAGCGACTTATCAGAGCAACGCACCTATATCTTCACATTCAATGGAACATCAACAAGTTCATAATGCTGAGGGTTTAACAAATAGTGCGAGCATTGGCATGCATATAGGAGGTGAAAGTGGTCAGATTGGTATACACAGTCCGGCATCGACATCTCTTCCTCCAATGAGCTCGTTTCGCGGTGGCTCGGGTTCTTTACCAAATATAGGACAGCCGACAGTTCTCTCGCCAGCAGTGTACAATTCGCCACAACACAATCAAACAGCAGTGCAACATACATCCCTGTCTTCGGCTGGGCAAATAACCCACCATTCCCTAAATCATACTCCGTTACCTCACGCACATTCCCATCATAATCAAGCACAACTTAGTCCTGCAATTCAAAATACTGATGGCTTTGGTGGAATAAATACGAAAGTATCTGGAGCTAGTAATTCGACGGCAGCGTCATTACGACAACAGATATACATGTCGGCTGCAGCAGCTGATCAGAGTATAAGCAGCTTTAGCTCGAACCCATCAACACCTGTTAATTCACCTCCACCATTAACACAGTCTGGAGTTGGAGATGGGACAGTTTCTGGAAACGCCGTATGGAATCATAATGTTTTAAATGGTAGTGGCGCTTCAAATTATTCAAGCGATATGGTACCTGTAACTAGCTTACATACCATGGCATCTGTTTTTCAAGGCGCTCGAATGGAAGAGCGTTTGGATGATGCTCTCAATGTTCTTCGGAATCACTGCGAACCGGAACTGTTAACAAGTGTTAATACTTCTCTAAATTCAATAGACAATACAGAAACATTATCCTCCTTTGTGGCCAACTCACCTTCATCCCATCTAGTTGGCAGCGGTAGCTCTGCCGGAAATGGCGCACTAGTACCTAATTCATCAAGTACCCTGACGCATGAAGTTCTTTCATTGAGTACGCCTGCAGCTAGTGCAAACACGATTCAAACAATTGGTGCTACTGGCTTAACAAATATAAAAATGGAACGAAATTCCACGGCGTCAATATCGGCATCCTCAAAGCCAACTAAAAAACGAAAAGAACAATTAGGAATCAGTAATATCACACACACCGGGGTGTCAACAACTTCTAGTATATCGAATCTGGAAATGTCCGACACAAAGCCTACGAGCTCTATTGAGTCTTCAAATGCAACCCAGCTGCAGCAGCTGTCTCAAGGTACAAAAGGTTCAAAGAGACCTCGTAGATATTGTTCCTCAGCGGATGATGATGATGACGCGGAGCCAGCTGTCAAAGCTATTCGGGAAAAAGAACGGCGTCAGGCAAACAATGCTCGTGAACGCATTCGTATACGTGATATTAATGAGGCTTTGAAAGAATTAGGACGCATGTGTATGACACACCTAAAATCTGACAAACCTCAAACTAAGCTGGGCATTCTTAATATGGCAGTGGAAGTAATTATGACTTTAGAACAACAAGTTCGAGAACGAAATTTAAACCCGAAAGCTGCATGCTTGAAGCGTCGAGAGGAAGAAAAAGCGGAAGATGGACCTAAATTGAATATGCAACATCATATGATACAACAGCCATCTGTTAGCGGAAATACTTATCATCATAGCCAGTCTTCACAGCTTGCTGTTCCTCCACCTACGCAGACTATGAGCAACATGAGTTTACCAGCTAATCAGTCTAGTAATGTTTTACCACCACATTTACAACAGCAGCAACAAATTGGACAACATCCACAATAGCATGATGTCAGCAATGATCTGAAAGCCTTATCATCTTCCATAACAACTCAATTAATCCCAGAGACTTCAAAGTACTCATCAGCCTTTGAGCTAGACCAACACCTGCTAAGCAATTTTTTTATGCGCTATCATGCGAGTCCGACCATTTCTGAGACAATGTCCCCTTTGCAACATCCGTAGTAGGTTGTTTTGTCTATGGGTCTTAAGCACAAGCACCTATATCATTTTTTAAATCTTTTTTAACAATTGTATAGACTTCATTTTATCATTAGGTAAGATCATTTCTAGTTATTTGAATTGTAATTGATATCATATTGAATGTATATTAATATGTGCGATGTCACTATAGCAGCTTTTTAAGCTTTCATTGATACATAATTGTATAAGATCTATTTAAAATACAAAAAAAATCTTAAAAAAGCTAAGATTTTCACATACAGAGTTTTTCTTGTATTCCCCATATTTATCTAAGAAAATTCACATTAATTTCTCTTGATCGTATTAAATGCCCGGGTGTAATATATATATATATATATATATATATATATATATA